TCCATGGGGACTGTTAGGCGCGGGTGGTGGCCAGTTCGTCTCCGTTTGTAAGGGGAGGGAGGCACGGGGGGTCCCCAATGTTATAAAAAAAAAAAAATATACAGAAAATGATATATGGTGGCCTCAAAATATATTTACAATTAATATGTCCGGCATTTGACTAAATAATCCACCAAAATATTGTTGAAATAGAAACAAAATATGGAGATTTGATATGATTGATAACAATTAAAGGCATAATATCGATTAAGAATAAAATATATATCGTGATAATTATATTTTGCCTTATTTGTTTCTTTCGTATCTTTATTTCCTTGTTTCTTTCAATAATTTTTCCTATAAATGTATGGATTATTTTCATTGTAATGTAACAAGAAGAAGAGATGTAGCAATAAAAGTGTTTCCGTTCTTTTATCTTTTGTTCTTTCTTTCTAATTTAATTTCCGTATTTTATTTTTCAATAAATATAAATTTCGACCTACTTGTACCAAAAAAAAATGTTGTGACGTACCACGATTACTGTCGTGTCCCGTGAGCGTGAGACATGCAAAGTGTGGAAACATTTGTTTAGTATTATATTATTCCTTATGCCTTCCCTAAATTCCATCGAACTGCCACTGTACGTCAATGACTTCCAAATACACGTATAGTTTATTTCTTCGTAACCATCGCCTACTATTAATCGATATAATATGCTTAGTCATATCACTCATGTGTCTTAATTAAATCAAATAATTATTTTTTTTGTATACAAACTTAGGGTTCCTTACAACAAATATATAACACACTGTATGTATGTATATATATATATATATATATATATATATTGTGGAACCAACACAATGTTACAAGAATACCGCGAATCACTTGTTCTGTACAATATGAATGCTTGAAATCGAGAAATGAGAAGATAGAATTAATGCAACATATGAATTAATTATTAACATGGTGTATCTGTGTATGTATAATATACATACTATACTGTCCACAGAAAATAATTTTCTATAACATTCTCTATTGGGAAAACGGCCACGGCTCCGAACACGATTGCCTGCAACAATTAAGTAACAGCAAGGGGGTGTTATTTTGGTCTTGAAACTTGTTAAAGTTATGGTAATTCGAGAGATAAATTAAAGTATAGATATTATATATATATGTATAAACAAGTGAATAAGTAGTTAATGACTTACTCTATGAACTCCTTCCAATAAGAGTCGCTCGCTTCATCATCCATAATGTCACCCCATGGTGGTTGATGATCATGATCATGTGCATAAGTTGAGATGGACGAAGGGCATGGAGTGTTGTTCACCATGTCATCATCGCCCTTCATTTTTGAATCTTCTGGAGAATCCGGAACTAACGGAGGAAGTGAATTCTGATCGTGAATGACGATATGGTTGGGAGAAGAAAATGGAGCCAAAGGGTCATCCTGGTTAGGGAACAAATCACTGCTGTTGCCAAGAACATGAGAAAAATCCTGTGACTGATCAGCCGAGAGACCGACATTTTTGTTGTTAAGGGCTTTAAGGTATTCACTTATGGTTCGGTTTTCTTGGGAAGACAGACCACCCATGAGACTGCTGCCTGTCTGCAAAGCCGCCGGGGAGGAGGTGCTGCTCATGTTGAGGAACTGAATCAAGTTATGCAACATCTGGGCCTTGGCAAGAGCTGTCGCATCCAACTGGACGTTGTTCAAGAGGTTATTGACGTTGGCGGCGGCCAGAAGCTGGTGAAAAGCGGCAAGAACGCTGAGGTGATCGGTTCTTGGACGGTGAGTGACGGGATCGATCCCCATCTGAAGAAGCTTCTTTCTCAGATGCGTGTTCCAGTAGTTTTTTATCTCGTTATCTGTTCTTCCCGGAAGATGAGTTGCAATGGACGACCACCTACCATATATGATATATATATATATGTATATACACACCACATATATACATATATTAAAAAAATCATGCGAGTGAATTAGATTAGTTTAGCTAAATAAATATGCATCAATTAATGGTTGTTTCATGACATATATGCACCTATAAAGTCTAATGTAGTAGGTGATATATATATATCTCATGCAACCCTTTTGATCATTATCTAACTAAAACTATATACGTAATTAAGTTTTCCTCATAACTTTTATTGTATCCCTTTAGACTGCAGGACACCATATATATGAAAACTTGATGAATAGACACATGGTACATATACATACATACATATATATATATATATATCGTAAATAAAAGAAAATGAATGAAAGAAATGTGGTAATTATTACTTGTTTCCAAGAACGGAGTGGAGGTTGATGATGGTTTGCTCTTCCTCGGCGGTGAAATTGCCCCGCTTGATGTCGGGTCTCAGGTAATTGGTCCACCGCAATCTGCAGCTCTTTCCGCATCGATTCAGGCCAGCCTGCTTCGGCAGAGCTCTCCAGCTGCCATGGCCGTGTCTCTTTATGTGATCTATCAGTTTCTGGTCTTCTTCCGGCGTCCATGGCCCTTTCTTCAATCCCTGCTCGTCCCAACCCGGCGATCTTCCCATTCTCATCTCATTCATGTATATTGATTACTACTATCTCATCAATGGAAAACCCTACCAAAAAAAAAAAAAAACAGGTAAATATAGAGAGAGGACGTCCTATATATAGATCATGCATGAGTTCGTAAACCCATTGCAGAAATTAGCATGAACTTGTCTGTCAACCCATAGATACATATATATGTAGCAAAATATGTATATATATGTGCTTCGAACCTGAAACAAAGAGAGATGAAGGCTTCAACTCAATTTTGAAGATGAAGCTGGAGATCAATGGGGGTATGTATGACTGGTGGTTCTTTATATAACGAGGAGTTCTTATATGTGATATGTCGGAGGGCGATGACGTGTCATTTTTTGAGGTTTTTTATAATGACGAGAATGCCCTTTGGTAAAATACATGAACGGGGGAGATGGAGTTTTCGAAGCAATGGAACAAAGTTGATGCAACTAATACATGTTGACAAGGGCAGTTTATTACACACACCTTTGAAAAATGCGTTCAAAGGAAAGGTTGACAAAAGGGTAAGGTAAATCCACGAATTAACAAGATTTCAATTCGGTTTCTTCTTCTTCTTCTCTTTTTTTTTTTAAATTTCTGCTAAAAAGAGGTACGTTATTACATGGATAAAAAAAATTAGAATTATTGATTTATTATCATTGAGGTATAAAAAACTATCAAAATAGCAATTTCTTTTTACTAAAATTAATTGCATAAAATGTCACCCGAAGCACGTGTACTAGGTTTGATCAACTCATCTGCTTTACTAAAATTCAATAGAATTGAGATTTTAGGTGTAATTTAAATTGAACAGAAAATATTTAGTTTTACTAAAATATTGAGATATTTTCCCATATATATGCAGGGTTGTATAGAGAGATGTATGATCAATTCACACGGAGAAATGACGATTTAAATCTGAAGATAGAATCAATAATTCAAATATCGGGGAAATTTCTAGGCGAGTTGGCAAGGAGTATGGTCATCATACCGAGAGGTTGGGGGTTCCACTCCTTACCCGTTCACCTATCGCCTGTCAGTTACGGCTGATTTACCTCCCACGCGTGTGTTGCAGGTTCGTGCGTGTAGGCTTGAGTTTACTCGGTCAGCGCGCCTGAAGTGTAGTAGCCGGGGTACGCAATGTATAAAAAAAATAATTAAAATATCATTTCATTCATTTCTAATAAATATACATATATAGTTTATAAAAAAATACATATATAAATGTAATGTGATTATGTGAACGGACGATAATGATTTGTTATTAATTTCTTGTGATCTAGTTTTAGGACACATGCAAATGAAAAACCAATCCGCGATAACGATATTATCTCGAGTAGGTTTTCCACGTGGAAACTGGCATGCTACTACATGTGTGTCGAATATATATATATATATATATATTATGTATTTATGTGATTTATGGAAGAGGCTATATATATATATATAGCTTACAATGCTAGCTTAGAACAATTATTTCGTGGAAATATTGTACCCGAGGAACAGTACCCATACACTGTCCATTACTTCTGATTGGTCAACCATATATATAATATCACTTATTTAGTATTTATCATCAAAATATACACAACACAATAAATGAAGTCAACTTTAAAATTATCGAATCCTACTAATTTAGATATTTTTTTAATTCCATGAACCACACCCATTTATCTTTGCCAAAAATATGCATATATAGATAGATATGCATGTATATGTTTGATAATTTATAAATAAAATGTTATTTCACAAAATAATAATAGCATATCAGAATCCCTTGCATGATAATATATATAGCCGCGAGACATTTGATTTTACTATATCATAAACACGCAATATATAATATTCTCAATGGCATGTTTATCATAATATATATATATATATATATATATGTATATGTATATTAATCAACATCGAGATATGGTTGTTGGTTATTGGTATAAATTTAGTTTTAAGCGCAACAAGGCACGCAAACTCAATGTGTCGCAAGGGTGGGACCCCCAATGAACCCTAACACTTTTAACGACTAAATTATTCGTGATTATCTCTTAATACTAATATAATCCCTTTTAGATGTTTATGCACTCGTATTATATATCTGTTTATATATTTCCCCATACATATGTGTGTGTAGTCATATATACAAATATAACATATAAATATAAGTTCGAGGCATAAATCAAATCACGAATTTTGGATATTTTTCCCTAACATATTTATTTTTAACAAAATGTGTATATAACGAATTGCAATTGTGGTTGTGGTTATAATAAGTTAGAAAAGGAGCCAAAAGTTAACATTCGTAAATGAGAAGTTTCCAACTAATCCAAACACGACAGCATGCCACGGTTGATCTTCCCCTCAACAAACTCCATAGTTCGTCTTGTCTTCGCCTCATATTATATTCAAGGTTACCCGTCCAATTATTAAATGTTCAGTGTATGCAACTAAATACGAATTTTACATGGGTTAAACATTTTGGATTTTGTTCATATTTTAGTTTAATTATGTTTTTTTTTCCATTTGTAAAGATCATATTTATTCGATTTCTACCTAAAGTTTCTATTATTTTCAACTTGTTTCGATTTATTTAATTTTAATAGATTGTTAGATCAAATTCCATTAGAGTATGGTTATATCAAGATTAGGATTATCCAATTTTCTCGTCTGAGGAAAGATCCATGTATCGAAATGGTGGGTGAATGTTGAAATAAAAAAAGTCGAATGGATCCATAAAAAAAACATTGCGTATGCGTAACAAATGAACATACTAAACCGATGGACAATTTAGACGCGCGGTAAAAGAATCCAAGCAAGACAATTATTCATAATCTTTTACCTTATCACATGTTAAGAAAGGTAAAAAAGAGAAATGGAAGAGTTGGTTTAACCCAGAGGCTATAATAATAAGCTTTTTAGATAATGTAGGTAAAAAAAAAAAGGTTTAGGGTTTACTTCTCGGTGTTGTTAACCGTAGAAGTCAATGCAAGAGAAAATGACACGAGATTACTAGTAAAACAAAAAACAAAACAAAAGCAGCTCTCTATTTACCGTGAGGAACATGAATTCCGGCAAAAAAAAAAAAAAAAAAAAAAAAAAAAAGGGTAAACCTTTAGGGACTTTTACTGTATTGACACCCTTTGGGACAGTAACAAAAAACATAACTATACCAAGTTTGGAAGTTGGAGACAAATTCATTGCATCGCAATAAGAACTTGGTATTGGAATAAGGACATCGTATTTGTCAAATTTCATGCAAAGATGCCAAATCCCCATACCCCTCGATTTGCATATAGATGCGAACACACATATATATAACCACATCAAAACCAGAGAATACAGTAAGTGGATTGGCTAACACAGGAACATATGGTTATCATCAAACGGTGAAATAACCAAGCAAAGGAAAGGGCCAAGAATGATGAGGTGACAAGGAACCCAACTCAGGATTAGAGCCACAACGAAAACAGGACATGGAAGATATCCTAAGCTTTGTTAGGAAAGATTGGCAATAGAGATTATGTCCCTTTGAGCAACTGATGTTTTGCATTGCCAAGAAACTATGAAAATAGACGAACAAGCCCCCTTTTGCAAGACAAGTCATGGTATTGTATATTACCTGTCACATTTTTGATCGAGCATATTTGCTGTCTGATGTCAGAATTTGTTCCTCTGGTTGTTATGTACATGTTCACTGAGCATTACTTTTTAGGCTGTATAGAGCGGGTTTGTTATTCGTAGGGTTGTAGTCACGTGATATCCTAAAGTGTATATATACAGATGTAAAGGGCATTTTAGAGATAGAGAAGAAAATTTAATCTTTCTGGAGTTGCCATTTCTCTCATGTTCTTCGCTTTTCTCCTTCCTTTGTTCTTCAATGTTCTTCATCTGAATATTGTCGAAATGGTATCAGAGCACCAGTAAATTTCAGCTTCCGTTTTCCATCTCCTTTCTCTGGGCTTTTCTTCTTTCATCCTTTCACCATGGACGACCAAACTCCTACTCATCCTTCTACGACCTCAGCTACTCAGATCTCTTCTTCTTCAACCTTGCCCAACCCTAATCCTGATCCTTACTCCAACCCCCTTTTTCTTCATGCCGCCGACTCCTCTAGTCTGACTTTGGTTCCCGAGAAACTCCTTGGTGAATCTAATTACAACCTCTGGTCCAGAGCTTTTACAAAAGCCCTAATCACCAAAAACAAACTTGGTTTTATCTCTGGAACCATACCTCAACCTTCTGAAGACAGCCCAGATTTTGGCCCTTGGATGAGATGCAATGCCTTGGTTTGTACCTGGCTTACTAACTCTGTTTCTTCCGACATCGGAAGCTTGATGCTCTACCTGGATGATGCTCATCTCATATGGCAATCTCTGGAAACAAGATTCAAGCAGAAAAATGTTTCCAAAATTTTCAACGTTGAGCAGAAGATTGATTCTCTGCAGCAAGGTGCGCTGGATCTCAACACCTTCTTCACTAAACTCAACTCATTGTGGGAAGAGCTCAAGAACTATGAGCCATATCCCAACTGTACGTGTGGGGGTTGCACATGCCAGGCCACTACGAAGTTTCTGGATTTGCTCGAGCGTCGCAACGTTGTCAAATTTCTGATGAAACTCAACGAGTCGTACCATCCTGCTCGCCGTCAAATCCTTATGATGGACCCTTTACCAAGCCTAACCAAAGTTTACAATCTTATCTCTCAAGAGGAGCATCAGAGGCAAACTCTTTCTCCAACCTCTGATTCTGTGATTTTTCAAACCACGACTACTCCATACAACCGCCCTAAACCTATCCCCAAACCGCGTCCTATATGCACTCACTGTGGCTTACAGGGCCATACCATCACCCGTTGTTACAAACTTCACGGCTACCCACCCACATCCAAATTTTCACCTAACCACTTCACCAAATTTGCTTCCTCCAAACCACCACTATTACCTAAGCCTTCCTCTGGTGCTGGCTCGCCGTTTTCAAGTCCCATGAACATGGTGACCTCTGCTGCTGGTTCTTCTGCTAAACCACAGCCTTCACACTCCAGTCCTTTTGAGCAGGCCAAGGCCTTATTCTCGCAGTTGCAGTCTCAACTCCAGAATCTCGGCAACACTTCCACTGATTCCGACACGGTAGCTTCTCCTAACCCCACTTCCTCGCCAGGTACCTCTCTTTTTCCATCTCCGTCTTACATTATGTCCACCTTGAACCCAGAGATACCTACATCCCCTGTTTTTTGGGTATTGGATACAGGCGCCAGTAGACACGTTTGTTGTGATATAAGACTGTTTTCGGATGTTCACACCATTTCTCCTATCTCTGTTACTCTACCCACTGGTTCTTCTTTTTCTGTTGCTCAGTCTGGCTCAGTTCACATCTCGCCAAGACTTACTCTTACCTCTGTCCTCTATATTCCTTCTTTTCGATATAATCTTCTGAGTATTAGCGCCTTAACGCGCAACACACCACTTACAGTAACCTTTTCTCATCGTTATTACTCAATCCAGGACCCTATTCAGGGCTTGACGATTGGGAGGGGTGAACAAACACACGATCTTTACTTTCTGGAGATGCAGCAGACACCTTCCCCTGCTGTTCCAATCCCAAAGTCTCTGTGTACAGCTTTTTCCACCACAACTTCTGCTCTTTGGCACAAGCGTCTAGGTCATCCTTCAAGTTTCAAAGTTACAGAACTTCATGACTCGCATCAACTTCGTTTTGCTCCTGCGGTTTCTGCTAATACAGACTGTTCTATCTGTCCCTTAGCAAAGCAGCGTCGCCTTCCTTTTCCTACTGGTTGTCATATGTCTTCTAGTCCTTTTGATTTAATACATCTTGATACATGGGGTCCTTTTCATTTACCGACTGTTGAAGGTTTTCAGTATTTCTTAACTATTGTTGATGACTTTAGTCGAGTCACTTGGTTGTATTTGCTGAAATCCAAGAATGAAGTTCTTTTACAGTTTTATGCCTTTTTGCAATATGTGAACACACAATTCAATTCCACTGTCAAAGCCATACGGTCGGACAATGCTCCGGAACTTTCATTCTCTGCTTTAACGACCAAACATGGCATTTTCCACCAGTTCTCTTGTCCATACACTCCCGAACAAAATTCGGTTGTCGAGCGAAAGCACCAACACATTTTAAATGTGGCTCGGGCTCTTCTTTTCCAATCAAACGTTCCTCTCTCATACTGGGGTGACTGCGTTAAGACTGCTGTTTATTTAATAAACAGAATCCCTTCACCTCTCCTTGGTCACAAGTCTCCTTATGAAACACTTACCCAGAAAATCCCTTCTTATTCACATCTACGTGTTTTTGGATGCTTGTGCTATGTCTCTACTCTCCATAAAGATCGTCATAAGTTCACCCCTCGTGCTTCACCCTCGGTTTTTCTTGGTTATCCCACTGGAACCAAAGGCTACAGAGTATTGAACCTTGATACAAATGTTGTGTCTGTTACCAGAAATGTCACTTTTCATGAATCCAATTTTCCTTTCTTACAAACTCCTGTTTCTCAGACTACAAAGGATTTCTTTCCAACTTCAGTTTCTCCTTATTACCTTTATGACACAACATTCTCTTCAAATACCCCTGAAATGGCTCCCTCCCCTGCCATTGTCTCAGATGTCTCTTTTCCGTCTCCTTCTACTCAGTCTCGGTCATCATTCCCTCCTTCTCATTCTGGTGTTGAACATCACGAAAACATTCGAAAGTCACAGCGTGTTACTAAGGCCCCCACATACCTATCTGATTATCACTGTTATTTTCTTACACATCAGAAAGAACCCCCAAATACTACAGCCACTAAACATCCATTATCTGCCTGTCTATCCTACCACAAATTGACCCATCCATACAAAGCTTTTGCCTTATCCATTCTGACCACCCCAGAACCAAGGACCTACGCCCAAGCTACTAAATCTGAACAGTGGAAACAAGCCATGATTCTCGAATTAGACGCGTTAACTCGATCTAAGACCTGGGATATATGCTCACTTCCCCCTGATAAGCATCTTGTGGGCTGTAAATGGGTTTTTAAAACCAAATACAACGCCGATGGCAGTGTTGAACGGCACAAAGCCCGACTTGTGGCTAAGGGGTACACTCAAATCGAAGGATTGGATTTCATGGACACTTTCAGTCCTGTGGCAAAAATGACGACAGTTCGTGTAATTCTGGCTTTGGCAGCTTCTTACTCCTGGGATTTATGCCAAATGGATGTCTCTAATGCCTTTCTCAATGGAGAATTGCAAGAGGAGATCTACATGACATTGCCACCAGGATATTCTGAGCTTAAGGGGGAGAATGTCAGCAAGAACTCTGTTTGTCGCCTTAACAAATCTATCTACGGTTTGAAACAGGCTTCGCGTCAATGGAACCTGAAACTTTCCAGTGTTCTGATAGCTAATGGGTTTTCTCAGTCTCTTGCAGATACTTCTCTCTTTATCAAGCATCAGGGCTCTGCCATTACCATTGTTCTAGTTTATGTTGATGATCTTTTACTTGCTGGAAACAATGCTGATGGTATACAACAAACTAAGCTTGCTCTTCAGGACAAATTTCAGATCAAAGATCTCGGACCTTTGCGTTATTTTCTGGGCATAGAGATTGCTCGTTCTGCATCTGGAATTCATCTCTGTCAAAGAAAGTATTCTTTGGAACTTCTCGAAGATTATGGTCTGTTGGGGGCTAAAGCAATTCAGACTCCTATGGATCAGAAAAGCAAGCTGAGTTTAGATTCTGGGGAAAATTTGACAGATCCCTCATACTATCGCAAGCTCGTTGGTCGGCTGATTTATCTTTCAATCACTCGTCCAGACATATCATTTGCTGTTCACAAATTAAGTCAGTTCATGGCTACTCCAACCTCAGCTCATCTCGATGCAGCCTACCGAGTTCTCAAGTACCTGAAATCAGCACCTGCTCAGGGCATCTTATACTCTGCTTCCTCGCCAATTACCTTAAGTGCCTACTCTGATGCTGATTGGGCATCATGCCCTGATACTCGTCGCTCCATCACTGGGTTTTGTGTTTTCCTTGGCTCATCCATGGTCTCTTGGCGTGCAAAGAAGCAGGCTACTGTCTCCCGTAGCAGTTCAGAATCTGAGTACCGAGCACTTGCACAGACATCTTGTGAAATTCTTTGGCTTTCATCCTTGCTGACAGAGCTTCGAATTGATTGTCCTCGGCCATTCACTATTTTCTGTGACAATCAATCAGCGCTTCATCTTGCCAACAATCCAGTGCATCACGAAAGATCGAAACACATTGATCTTGACTGTCATTTTATCAGGGATCACATTAAATCTGGTTTGCTGAAAGTTCTGCATGTTCCATCCAGAAATCAGGTTGCTGATTTGCTAACAAAACCCTTGGCTGCTGATCAATTTCGAATCCTTTTATCCAAGATGGGGATACATAATTTGTACTCCCCATCTTGAGGGGGAGTATTACCTGTCACATTTTTGATCGAGCATATTTGCTGTCTGATGTCAGAATTTGTTCCTCTGGTTGTTATGTACATGTTCACTGAGCATTACTTTTTAGGCTGTATAGAGCGGGTTTGTTATTCGTAGGGTTGTAGTCACGTGATATCCTAAAGTGTATATATACAGATGTAAAGGGCATTTTAGAGATAGAGAAGAAAATTTAATCTTTCTGGAGTTGCCATTTCTCTCATGTTCTTCGCTTTTCTCCTTCCTTTGTTCTTCAATGTTCTTCATCTGAATATTGTCGAAATTGTAAAAAATACCTGAAACTGATCTTTCCCTGTAAAAGAATCCATAATCCGCGGAAACATTCACCAGTGCACTTAGACCTGCATGGTGATGACCATATCATCAATACAAAGCAGGGAACACCAGTTTCCAAGAGAATCATATAGAAGCACCGACGAAAAGGTTGGCGCAAAAAGCTTTTTTTTAAAAAAAAAAAACAATAAGCAATATCGCTATATCGGCAAGGAAACAACATCAAGATAGTTATGCCAGAGTAGCTTCATCAAGAAAATAACGTACATTGAACAGCAAACGATGTTCTGAACGATTACAGGTGAAGAGCAAGGGTGTTTCACCATGCTTTGGAACACTGACGCAGCAAATCCAGTAACAAAATAAGAGATAAAACAAGCGTAGGACGATATCCAGAGACTCACCGCACAACAGCAAAGAGCAAAGTGAAAGATCCTGAAACTGAAACAGGAAACCGCATGCTTTTGTCTTGCTTCATCAATGATAGTGCAAAACCACTTAACACTTCAATTAAGAAGGTCCATACACAAATTTGTTCTTAAACACTTCAACTATTTAATCGCACACGCTGAGATCAATCCACATCATGTCGATGATGATGCACCACATTTAGCCAATCAATCATCTTATACTGGCAGAATGAGATGATTCCAAGGAAGCATAGTGAGTGACAGACAGTTACAATGCATAGAAGAAGCAGGCCGGGGATGCATGCCAAACGAAGTTAAACCATTCTGAAAGCCAAAATAATGATCAGAGCAGCAGCCAAGAAACTATAAATTCAATGCTTTCCAAAGGGGAAACAGTTTTGCATTTGACCAAGGCTTGCAAAACTTGGCAGTAAAGGAAGAAAAACACATCAACAAGTGCTAGAATTCAAAAGGTACACCAATTTGGCATCCACAAAAGGCAAGACAAATGCCTTCGAAATGCAAACCTTCAAGAAGTCTGCAATTGCAACTCCTCCAAACTCACATTGCAAGTGTACAAATCCTCTAACATCATTACACGGAATCTGCCAGAAGGATCATTTCTGCAGATTATTACAGCCTACTCTTTCCTTCCATCCTCGCTCCCACCACTTGCATAGGCAGACACACCTTCTGTTGCCATCATCTCTACCCCGTGATTCTTTCTTGTGACAATTTCCCAGAAGAAATTCGTCAAGACGGGCTCGTAAGACGGCATTTTCGCATACCCAGGGAAGTAGTTAATGTCAATTATAAGGTACCGATTATCATCTTTAGCGTCCCTAATCACATCAAAGTTAAAAAGATTGAGCCCGGGCTTTATCTGATGGTTCATGCCTCAAAACATTCGAAGGGCACACATCAAGTGTACTCAGGGCCTCATTCATTACCCGTGGAACCCAATTTGTCTCATGTGGTATATCGCTTGACTGTCTCGATATTGGGCTAATTGCTCTTTCCAAACTCAAATCGTCACCATACTCCTTGTTCTTATCATCTTGCGCAGTCAAATTCGAAATCTGCGAAAATGGCAGAGACCCCTTCATGGTTACTATCTTCTCTTCCGAAATGTCTGGTAAAGATCTTCTCTTTACACATTTCACGTGATCCCCGACAACATAGACCTTGAAAATCACACCGCCATGATTGACAAACTCCTGCAACACAATTGGGGTCTTCAAAATATTCATCCCTTCTTGATCAAACACGAGATACATTTTGTGAGACTTGGCACTCCCGTCAGCATCCAATGGTTTAGCCACTACCGGAAATTTGAGTTCCCCCATGGCTCCTTCACCGCTCAGAGCACTCGAATCCAAAACCACAACTTGCTCCGGTACACCGAATCTCTCTCTGTTCAACATAGGAACCTTCAACTGAGTAACCACCTCAAGCATCGAAACCCTGTTATGCAGCCGCGCGATAGCCTCCGGCGAATCGATGACCGGAACGCCGGGGCATTTCGCGCGAAATTCACGGAGCTTCTCCTTCCAATCCACATCATAAAGCTTGTGGATTATGCAATCTAGATTTCCTTGATCGAACAACGACTTGGTCGGATCAAGCTTGATCAGATCAATGCCGCGTTGTCGCGCGTGTTCGATCAAGGAAGGCTGGATGAAACTATGCTCTTTCTTGGAAGCGAGAGCGTATCCAACTAGATATCTCTTGGGGGCTGGATCCGACATCTTGTGCTGTTCTGTTCGGAAGGTGATAAAGTGAGAGGGAAAAAGTCATACCAGGAATAGAAACCTCCTTTAGGAAAAACGAATAATACCAAAAACCCAGAACCTAAATTCAAATTCTATAACTAAAACTCAATCAGATTGAAAAGAATCATACAAAATCTCGTGGCCACGAATCAAAAATCCAGAGGAGGAAGAGAGAGAAAATTAGGGTTCCTCCATTGCGAGATATAGAATAGACGAGGGGGAGGGAGAGGATCTTTTCCACGTGGCGGGAGTTTGGTACGTGGTAAAAACGCAAGTGGAGGTGCCTGGCACGTGTAAGAATGTGAGCGGATACCTGTGGTATCTGAGCTTTTTATCAAATGGACGGCTGTGATTTCTTCATAAAGTGTGCATGATTTGGGCCGTCAGATTGGAACTGGGCCTTGGGCCATATGAACCGGATAATCGCACGTGTAAAACGTGGATAATCGTGTAATGCGGACAGCTCATGGGGAATATCAACATATCATAATCATCCCTCCACGTGAAACTCAATCATCCTCTGATCTTAATTACATTACAATTACTCAAATCTGAAAACAAAAACATCGTGGGCCTATGGGTTTAATGGGCCTAAAAGATATTGCCCATTTATCACTATTGATCCATAAAAAGCCCATTTATTATCTTTTAAGCAAGAAAAAATATCCACGCACGCGCGGGACCTCTTTTCCCACGTGCAAGGGCGCACACACACTGTTGGTGATTGATGAAAGTTGTGCTGCAGACTCCCCCTTCTACGGCTTAAACCCTAACGCTGGCTATTTTCTCTCGTAACCCTAAGCCCTGAGCTCCCTCTTCTCAGAAACGAGGAGGAAGAATGGCTTCTCATTCCTTGAAGAAGAACTATCGGTGTTTTCGCTCTCTGCAACAGTTCTATGGCGGAGGGCCTTTCGCTGTTTCGTCGGACGGGTCGTTCATCGCTTGCGCTTGTGGCGACGCCATAAATATCGTTGACTCTTCGGACTCGTCGGTGAAGTCGACCATAGAGGCCGAGTCGGACTCTTTCACTGCCTTGACGCTCAGTCCCGACGACAAGCTTCTCTTCTCCGCGGGACACAGCAGACAAATCCGGGTTTGGGATTTGGAGACATTGAAATGCATTCGATCTTGGAAGGTGATGCTTAATTTAAAATATAATATTCGTGATTTTATCGCTTTAGAGTTCCAGTGCTGAATCCCTGGGCGTGTTTAGTGAAATTTGTCGAAAATTTGGATTATTGTCCTGATTATTAGTATCATTCCATGTTCTTCGAAAATTGAATTATTCATAAAAGCAAAATTTTCTTTAGTGGCCCTTTGCTGAATATTTGGATTCTGTCAAGTGACCAAGAGCAATACATTGGGAGTCCGGTTTTTTTGACAAAATTCTATTTTTATCGTTCCATTCACAAAGTTCCTGATTTGTTGCTTTCAATTCGTATGTTTGATGATGATCAGGGCCATGATGGTCCTGTGATGGGCATGGCATGCCATGCCTCCGGAGGATTGCTAGCAACTGCAGGAGCTGATAGGAAAGTTCTTGTTTGGGATGTCGACGGTGGTTTCTGCACTCACTATTTCAAAGGTCATAAAGGAGTTGTGGCAAGTATAATGTTTCATCCTGATGCAAGCAGAAACATCGTAAGTAACCATTCTCTAACGCTGCTGATCTAGAAGTTCAAAATCTTCTCATAAAGAGATTGGTTGTATTGTTCTATCCTCTGAAGTTTTCATTTTTTCGGTGGTACAGCTTTTCTCTGGAGGCGATGATGCAACTGTGCGTGTCTGGGATCTTATGGCAAAAAATACTGGGAAAAAATGTCTTGCCACTTTGGACAATCACTTTTCAGCGGTGACTTCAATTGCTATATCAGAGGATGGATGGACTTTGCTCAGTGCTGGAAGAGATAAGGTAAGTTCAGTAATTTCCTTTCTCTAGTTCGACGGAATTGCAGTTGTTTGTGAGCAAATTCTTGCTAATCGGTATGGGGCTATTGGGAGTTGCTGCTTATTTTTTAGTTCAAGTTTTCAATGATGTCTTCTTACTGATAAATTGCAGGTTGTAAACTTATGGGACCTTCATAACTATAGCTGCAGGGCAACAGTAGCAACAAATGAGGTGCTTGAAGCTGTGGCAACTATTCATCCTGGGACGCTTTTTGCTACATTTGTATCGTCTTTGGATCTGAAGACTAAGAAGAAAAAAAATGTTTCACAAGGAACACATTTTATCACAGTCGGTGAACGTGGGGTTGTGCGCATCTGGAATTCTGAAGGGTAAGCCATGTTATTTAACAGTTTATGTTGTAGTTCTTAAATGCTTGATACAAAATCATGGAAACAAGTTCATGATAAAAGGATTGAAGCATGCTTGACTGTCTTGTAATTGTTTAATTTGACAGTTCAGTTTGTCTTTATGAGCAAAAGTCATCAGATGTTACTGTCGGCTCAGACACAGATGAATCCAGAAGAGGATTCACGTCAGCCGCTATGTTGCCATCTGATCAGGGGCTGCTTTGTGTTACTGCTGATCAGCAGTTCCTTTTCTACTCAATCGTGGAAAATGCAGAAGCTTCAGATTTTGTCCTAAGCAAAAGGCTTGTCGGATATAATGAGGAGATAGCCGATATGAAATTCCTAGGTGAAGAAGAGCAATTTCTGGCAGTAGCCACAAATCTGGAGGAGGTAATTAAGTTTTCCGACAGTCTATTCCATGTGGTTGAACGTGTTACATGTCTGTACAGTCAAAGATGTGAGGTTTTCATGAACTAATATACATGTCAATTTCACCATCTTCAGGTTCGTGTTTATGACACTACAACAATGTCATGTTCATATGTGTTAGCTGGCCATAAGGAAGCTGTTTTATCTCTTGACACTTGTGTATCCAGCCACGGAAGTGTTCTAATCGTGACTGGAAGTAAAGACAAAAGTGTAAGTCCATTTACATGCCTGTAAGTTTTGTTCCTTTTTTTTTAATCTATGATTCCCCTGAGCCCTGCTCATGTGTGCTGATAAAATACAGGCAATGCTAGAAAGTTGGGGATTGAATTTTAGTTCACATTGTTAGTGTCTTTGGTAGATTATTACATGCTGGTTCTATAACGCACAGTATTCAACAAGGCATGCTTTGAAAAATGTTCTGTTGTTTCTATTGTGGAGTGTTCTGTCGAGACCTTTAACATTTATTTTATTTGCTCTATAGGTAAGATTGTGGGATTCAGCTAGCAAAGCTTGCATTGGAGTAGGTATGGGTCATAATGGTGATGTCTTAGCTGTTGCTTTTTCGAAGAGGTCATGCAATTTCTTTGTCAGTGGCAGCGGGTAAGTGCTTATAAATAAGTTAATTTAATTTTTGTTTTGAGATCAAGGAAGAATGATAGTAACTATGTGCAAATGCTCTGGATGCTGGTCCTCTTTTGATGCTTCTATTATATAAAGTTGCCTGAGCATAATAACATGGAACTGGAAGTGGAAGTGCCAGTTCAGGACTCGCCTCCTTTCTTCTCCTCTGCCACTCAATAGGGAAAATTAAAAAGATTAATCTACATGATAATATGATATGACATCGTGTGCTGTTTCAATGTCAGGCCTTTCCATAGGGGACAATACAATATTAGATGAGTCATAGAGCTACCGTATGACTGAAGTAGAACCTCTAACCTCATTGAGAGATATCTGGGACAATTTATGATCTAGTGTTTAGGTATCTGCGGGTGTGTTCATCTTTCTAGGATTCTGTATCATGTCTCTTTGTTTCAGTTTTGAATCTGAACTTGGAATTCTTTGGTTAGTGATCGCACACTAAAGGTCTGGAGCCTTGACGGTATCTCAGAGGACTTGGAGCAGCCTATTAATCTGAAAAGTAAAGCTGTCGTGGCTGCCCATGATAAAGACATCAACTCTGTGGCTGTTGCTCCAAATGATAGTTTAGTTTGCACTGGATCTGAGGTAATTTGATATGACCAAATGTTTATCTATTACAGGGGCGGTATATTCTAGGGATATTATCTTGATTGCTCCTATTGAAAGAAGTTGTGTTTGGTTATCGCAAGAACAAGCCCCAAATTCTTATTCTTAGTGTGTTTTTGTGTTGAACAGGACCGCACGGCAAGTGTGTGGAGACTACCGGACTTGGTCCATGTTGTGACACTTAAAGGACATAAAAGGAGGATTTTTTCTGTTGAGTTCTCTCCTGTTGATCAATGTGTAATAACTGCTTCGGGTGATAAAACAGTAAAAATATGGGCTTTATCTGATGGTTCATGCCTCAAAACATTCGAAGGGCACACATCAAGTGTACTCAGGGCCTCATTCATTACCCGTGGAACCCAATTTGTCTCATGTGGTATATCGCTTGACTGTCTCGATATTGGGCTAATTGCTTACTTTTTTTGGACGTTTCTTTGTCATAACATTCTGCACATGCACTCATAGGCTCCGATGGTTTGCTAAAACTTTGGACCGTCAAAACTAGCGAGTGTGTTGCCACATATGATCAGCATGAAGACAAGGTGCCCTAACTTTCTTGGTTTTCTCGATATACATTTACCTTAGTTTATCGGCTATGCTGTAAGTCGTCGGATTTGGAACATCAGATTGATATAATGGTCACTTGGCCTATATTTAGTTTAACTTGTTAATACTTTTTAAACATATCAGGTATGGGCTTTAGCTGTTGGAAAGAAGACAGAAATGCTTGCAACTGGTGGTAGTGATGCAGTTGTCAATTTGTGGCATGATTCAACTGCTTCTGATAAAGAAGAAGCCTTCCGGAAAGAGGTTTGTTCTCTGCTGTGATATTCCTCGTTTTCTCCTGTTAACTCAGCTTGACCTGTCTGTTTCTCACGGAAAACCCGTTATCATGTGCTTACTTAAAATCTTATCCGCTCGTCATCTGGGAACACAACTAATACCTTGTTAAAATTCAGGAAGAAGCTGTCTTGAGAGGCCAAGAGCTAGAAAACGCCGTTTTAGATGAAGAATACAGTAAAGCCATAAGACTAGCCTTTGAGCTTCGCAAGCCTCGCAGACTTTTTGAACTGTTTGCCGGCCTCTGCAGGTGGGAAAAAAACTCTTACCTACCTTTTTTTTAACCGTTTCCCGATTCTCTCTCTGGGTTTTCCTATGTTCATGCTCGCGAATTGGTACAGAAAAAGGGAGTCAGAAGAACAGATAGTAAAGGCACTCCAAGGACTCGAAAAGGAAGAATTCCGTCTACTTTTCGAGTACGTCCGGGAATGGAACACAAAGCCAAAGCTTTGTCACATTGCTCAGTTCTTGCTCTTTCATGCCTTCCGCATACTTCCTCCAACCGAACTTGTCCAGGTCGGCCTGTCTCTTTGTTTTTTTTTACAATCAAGACTTCTTTGTTTTTTTTACAATCAAGACTGCTTTCTCTTAATCTATAACATATGCTGTTGATTTGCTCGGCTAAATTTCGGGAAGCGGGTTTGTTTTCCAGATAAAAGGCATGGGAGAACTCCTGGAAGGTCTCATCCCATATTCTCAGAGACATTTCAACAGGATTGACAGATTTGTAAGAAGCACGTTTCTCTTGGACTACACGCTCGGCGAAATGTCTGTGATCGACCCAGAAGCAGAAACCGATTCGGCAGCGGAAAACGAAAAGATGGAAGGGTCGAACGGTATGATTGATTCCGGGCTTGGAATGGATCAAGAATCAGAAGAGTTGAATGAGAAACCTTCTAGGAAAAGGAAGTCGCAGAAACCCAAAGATAGATCGAACAAGAAGAAGAAAGCTAAAGGAGTTCACTTAAACGCTGCATCAATAGCGGTAGAGGTCTAAGCGTTTTGCTTAAAACTAAATTTTTGATGAAATTACATTAACATTTGTTCAGTGTTGTTTTTACATCACAAATCACAAATGGGACTAGAATCTTGTGTTATTATACACGTACGTCAAGAAACACCAGCATATTTGTGTAATACACCTGCAATTTGTGTCACCTTTTCATTACTTCTGATTTATTTTTTTTTAGAATCATGCATCCAATGTATACTTAGAACGGTACAACACGTTTGATAAAATTTATATATTTTTTTCATTTTTGTTATAAAATTTGTCAAAATTTTAGAGGAATTTATACCGAAATATAAGTATTAGGGTTCGAAAAGCTATGTACAAATACAAACTAATTATTATTTATTGTACTTTTCTTTCTAAAAATAGACCTTTAATTGTAAAAATAAAGCTCTTGTTTGGGAAGTTCGCAGTATTGGAGGAGGTTTTTTTGGTAACCGCTTGTATTTGGTCGAGACATAAATTAATGTTGTAACTTTGAGGAAATCACGTGATTAGAGTATGCGTTTCCCTCTCCAATTTGAGACTCGAATTTGAGGTGGGAAAAATGTTTTATGTATCCGTTTCACCGGCTGAGTATGAGTTGTATTCTTATGAAACTTCTATCTAATAGATACATATAGTTTAAAAGTATAAGATGAATATAACCCGAATCGGTCAACGTTGCATGCGATATGACTACTTTCTCCATAAACAATCACAAATACCAATCAGTATATATCTCTATATGTCTGTCTACATACAAGAAGAAATTTTCAGAAGGAAGAACAAGAGAAACGGAAACATTGAAAGAAGGAAAGAATCTGCATCAACATTACACAAACCTATTTGGAAAGACATTACACAACCAATCAAATGTTATAATACTGATGAAATCGAATAAAGGATATACATACACATATATATACACATATGTATATATGTATGTATAGAGCGTGTGTTTGGCTTACCTCGAGTTATTTCACTGAATCAAGAACTGTTATTTTCGAGTTAACAGGTCCTTTCTTCTTGAGAAGATTCCCAACCTTACCAAACAATGTCTTCTTCTGCTTGCTCTTCTTCTTCTTCTTCTTGTCTTGCTGCTCTTCTGCACTCAATGCATTTCCAGTTTCATCTATATTCTCCGTGGAGGTTTTGTCGCTTTCATCTATCTTGGTTAAATCTTCTTCCCCTTCTCCTTCTTCTTCTGGGCACTCTTGTTCTGACTTCTTGTCTGGAAAAGCTTCCTTCTTTTCGATTTGGCAGCTTTCCCACATTTTGAATTCATCTTCCACCGAATCATCCTCTGTTGAATCTTCTTTCTTTTCCTCGGGTTTCCCATTCGCATCTTTATCCTTCAGACCATTCCTCAAGTCTTCTTGTGGAGTTTCGTCGAGGTTATCTACCTTAGAAGACTTGTCTTCTCCACTTCTATGGCCATTCTCCTCTGAAAACTCAACCACCTTTGGAAGCAAGTCATAGTCCTTCTCACTCTCACTGAGCTCTCCGTTCTCTTCTCTTTGATTCTTGGCCAATGCTTCCTCGAGTAACTTAGTCAACTCCTCGATCTTCTTCAGAGAAACTTCCTCCTTCACTCTCAGTTCCTCATTCTCGTGCACGATGCCCTGGAATTCAGTTTCTTTATCCAGAAGATTCTCCTTTAGTTTCATGCTTTCGGCTTTAGCTTCAGCAAGATTTTCCTGAAGATAAATCACCTCATCTTCCGCTTCTTTTAGGTGGTTTTCCATCTGGGATCCTCTCTTCTCTGCTGCATTGGCTTCTTCCTCGGTTCTCTTGAGCAAATTAGACAACCTATTCATTTCTTTCCCCATTGAAGCAACTTCTTCTTCCATTTTCTTCACATTATTAACCAAATTGGCCTCTTTCATCTCCCAATCGCCCTTCGAGCTCTCAAAGTGTTTCTTGGTTTGCTCCACTGCGCTGACAAGAACATCAATCTCGTGTCTCGCCTCATCAAGCATGGTCTCGTACTTCTCATTCGTAGCCTTAATCACCAATTTCAAATCTTCAATCTGTGTTTCATACTCGTGATCCCCCTGATTCAACAACTTCTCTTTTAACTCCCTTGCCTCAGTTGAGACCTCATGCAAGGCCGAAGCTAAACTCTCCATTGCTTTCTTACTCTTCTCCTCTTCCTCCTTCGATCTCTCCAGTTCAGATATGAGCTTGTTCTTCTCTCCCATGAGCCTTTCAACACTTGAAGCAGCATCTTGTTCACTCTTTAGAGCCAGATCCTTCTCCTTCTCCACAGTTTCAAGCTCCTTCTTCAGTTTCTCCACCTCTTTTTCGAACTTAGAGAATTCTTCCTTGGCAATGCCTAGATGGCGCTCAGATTCCTCAAGATCTTCTTTTTGTCTTTGTGCTGTAATCTCCAATGATCCGACTTTCTTCTTAAGATCTGCAATTTCAGATACAGCTTCATGCAATCTATCATTACTTCCTTCAAGTTGTTTCAACACAGATTCTAATGACGCCGAAGCAGATCTCTCCAGTTCGCTAGCTTTGTCTAGTCGTTCCTCCAGTTCTTTGGCTTTGACTTTCCATTCCTCAACTGAGCTGTGTGCACTAGATTCTGCCATCTTTGCAGCTTCAAGCTCCACATTGAGCTGCTCAATAATCATCTCTCGTTCTTTTATCTCTGCCTCTAAACTCCTCGCTTTCTCAAGTTCTCCTCTCAAAACCTCTATCTCAGAACTCAGTTTTGAGGAAATTTCACTGGTCGAAAGTGTTTCCCTTTCTCGTGTTGAATCCAGTAAAGCTTTCAACCGTATCAACTCCGAAGACAAGATTTCCACTTTTTCTGCATGGGCGTCGGCCATCTTGCTCGCGTCATCTGCTCTGCTCAAGGCTTTACTTTTGGCATCAATGGCAGCAACCAGATCTTGCTTGACATTCTCAAGCTCCTCAGAGACCGAGCGAAGAGCAGAAGAATCCAGAGCACGTTGGTTTTTCATGTTCTCGAGCTCTTTCTTCCATTCCTCTTCATTTCTCTGGGACACCTCAATGCCCGCATCGACGGCCTGAAATTTCTCAATTTCAGAATTCTCCTCAGCTTTCTTCTGAGCTGCCAAAGACTCGTCTAGCTTCTTAATCGCCTCGTCAGCCTCTTTCTGTGCTTCTTTGAGTTTGTCAAGTGCTTTAGCTTTCTCCTTCTCCAGAGATACAATCTGCTCATTTGATTTCTTTAACTCTTCCTGAATCTGACTCAATCGGGTTTGTAACTCCGACCCTGTCACTACACGTGCTCTGGTTTTCTGAGAACAATGATCACAAAGAAAACAAAATTCAACAACCACAGTAGATTTCCAAAATAAGACCGAAGACATGATTTCCTGAACCAAAAACATATAGTTCTTGAATCCGAATGTACCCTTTATAATGCATCAATAATAGCCTCGATACACATACATATATATTGACAGGAGGATATCGTCTCAGCAATGGAGGAACAAAAAGAAAGATAAAGAAGAGACCATGGATACACTTACTTCCGTTGGGGTTAGAACCTTTGGAGATCGCCTTTCAGTGGAAGGCTTTGAGTTGGCAGAATGTGGAGAACGCTCGGAACTAGAAGGCGAAGGCTTTGAGCTTGCAGAATGTGAAGCACGATCGGTTGAAAGCCGAGGATTTTGAGTCGGTGATGGAACATTAGCTTCGGATTTAGCCACTCCTCTACTCAGTTTAGTGATTCTTGGAGTGGCGGGAGACGATGACTTGCTCGGTGTAGTTTCAGATAAACCAGCTCTGCTTTTCAAAGGCAAAGCATAATCAAATCAACCGCACATCTCAAACGAAACAAAATAAAAAATCATGGAGCAAGCAAGGAAGATCTAACGATGAACAGAATCTGAAAATTTCCATGTAGAAGTTAACTAGACAAGAAGAACTCTTAAGATTCTCTCTAACACGAATCCACTGGCCAAGAATCTGCTCAGTCCATCAAAAACATATCCCAGCTGAAATACTTTTTAGAACCCTCCACTCTCTGATATGAACTCTTGCATGATATGAACTCCTGCATTATATTCCATTTTACATTTTACAGCGATCTACTTGTTTGTGGCAGTCTACAATTTAGTAACTCTTCCTGCACCTGAAGCTGAGATTCCACTTGTAGATGGCGAAACATTGGAATTCTTTAATAACTTGGGGAAACAACAACAACAACAAATGATAACTTTTTCGCAGAATCAAGGAGTAAGATACCGACAAGGATCTTGGGGTCGCAAAAAACAAGAAGGCAGACTTCTGAAACAGGAGATTAAAAATGAGAAAAGACAGTAAATGATCAGACAATTTATAAAATATGATCTCGGATCCAATTGTGCTAATAAATTAGAAGGGGGAATAAACCCAGAACGAGTTAGATCTACAGCGTCATTGAAAATTATCTCAAAATGGAAACTTCGACTTCGACAAATGGAAAAACCCAGAAAAAATTCTCCAGAATTGCTCAACGATACCCAGATCTGATCTGAAACTAGAAAAATTTCGGACAAGATAAAGAGCAAACTTTGAAGAGAGTCAAAGGGGCAAAGACAGATACGGAAAATCTTGCATGATATGAACTCCTGCATTATATTCCATTTTACATTTTACAGCGATCTACTTGTTTGTGGCAGTCTACAATTTAGTAACTCTTCCTGCACCTGAAGCTGAGATTCCACTTGTAGATGGCGAAACATTGGAATTCTTTAATAACTTGGGGAAACAACAACAACAACAAATGATAACTTTTTCGCAGAATCAAGGAGTAAGATACCGACAAGGATCTTGGGGTCGCAAAAAACAAGAAGGCAGACTTCTGAAACAGGAGATTAAAAATGAGAAAAGACAGTAAATGATCAGACAATTTATAAAATATGATCTCGGATCCAATTGTGCTAATAAATTAGAAGGGGGAATAAACCCAGAACGAGTTAGATCTACAGCGTCATTGAAAATTATCTCAAAATGGAAACTTCGACTTCGACAAATGGAAAAACCCAGAAAAAATTCTCCAGAATTGCTCAACGATACCCAGATCTGATCTGAAACTAGAAAAATTTCGGACAAGATAAAGAGCAAACTTTGAAGAGAGTCAAAGGGGCAAAGACAGATACGGAAAAAGACACTTACTTCGTCTTCGTCTTCGGCGAAGCCATATCTGCTGCTGCTGCTGCTGCTGCTGCTTAGTGTGGAGCAAACGATTCTTGTAGTTACAGTAATGGATCAAATACAATGAAATTTAAGAAAGAAAATAATGTGAATTCGATGCTGAATTTCGAAAATTGTCAGACTTAGAACTTCGAATTTCCGCAGATTTCTTCAAAACGGCAGTCACAGATCAAGAGAGATGCAATAAATTTGAATCGGCGAATCAAGGAAGAGAGAGATGAACTAGCAAAGAATGAATGATCGAAGCAGGTAAGGCTGTCTCCAGAGTGGCCACACCCCCCCAAAAAAAAAAAGCGAAAAAAAAAACAACAATAATCGAATAAAATTATTATATATGTGTATATATATACAAAACTCAGATTCTCTTGGCGATGGTGAGTGCGCGTGAAACCGCTAATGAACCAACCGCTAGGAACGTGACGATATAAAATGACGAAAAAGACCCTGGTGGTTCTCTAGTCTTAATCAAGATGACAATCCGGATTAAGAACTAACCGAATTGTTTTTGGATTTTAATTAAATTAATTTTTATAGTAAAAATTATTACAAAGGGTGCACTAGGTTTATTACTTGTGACAGAAGGGAATAAAATTTATATATAGTGCAGAGTATGCAGTGAAATGTGGGGGGTTTGGTAAAGAAGTGTATAATGGAATTAATGTATAATCAATTCCCTGTTCAGCAAATAATGTTATATATGGACCGTTAATTATATACATGTACAAACATTTATAAAAAAAAATAATAATTATATACCCGTATATTTTTATTTTTTGGGCTTATATTATATATGTATATTGTAGTTATTTTTTTATTTAATTGCATGTGGAGAGAAATGGCTTTATTTGGAAAAAGCAAAACAAAAATTAATGAACATGTGATACTTTTTTGGTAAAAGAACACGTGCATGAGACTTTTTACTATTGGTAAAAAAAAAAAGAACGCATGCGATGCACGAGACTTTATTCACCAACCATGCATGCATGCATGTGTGCATGAATCAATAAGGCATTAATCTCTCCCTTTCGGTTTCGAACATTCTTATGGGCCTCAATGAGTTCGATTTTGGTCTCCAGCTAAAACAATGAACAGCATTTGGATTGGATTTTTTAAAACAAAATAATAGATGTTAAATACAATAACAGCAAAAAATGTAATATTTTTAGAAAATTAAATATTTTATCAATATAAATTTGATGAAAGTTTTCGAATTTAATAAAAAAATTAACTAGGAAAAAAAAAACAAATCCAAACATAACTACTTAACGCGAAATAACACTAAACTATTTTTTAATAATATATTTCTCTTTCCTATGTTGCAAGTCATACGTCTTCGAAATCTAAGAAGCTTTACTACGCGTAACTCGTGATTTTCTCTTTCAAGCTTTGTTTTTTCTCCCACGAGAAAATGACATTTTTCCAAGAAAATGAACAAAAAAAACTCAGTCAGGGAGGAGAAGATACGAATATACGGATGTGGTCCAAGAAGCTCAGATGCTGTGGCCGATCCACGCGCTTCACATATCCACGCGCCTCCTTCTCCGTGTACGCGCCTAACGATCTACGGCCATTCCTCTTCCACATCTCCTCATCGTAGCTCTTGTGCGCGTAATACGCTTCACCCACACACCGCTCCGATCCCTCCCCTTCCCCTTCTCCTTCCCGATCATCCTTCTTCTCCAATCTGATCGGGAGTCGAACGTAATGGCCGAGGGTGATCCCTTCGAGCTCGTCGAGCCGAGCCAGACCGCGTGGTGAGACCGCGTAGAGCTCTCCGATGACTCGGTGGCCCGATCCTGGGAAGTTGAGGAGAAACGGAACGCGGTAGGGTCCGCAGACGAGCGGGAATTTGTCTAGGGTTCTGTAGACTCCTCTGAAGGAGGCGTCGCCGGATCGGATCAGGTCCTGCATCACGACATGGTTGGAGAATCCTCTCTTCAGAGTTCCGTACGTGAAGACGAGCGTCGTCGTTGCCGCGATTGCTTCGTGACCCATTCAGAAGAGAGGATTTGAATTTGATGGTATGGGGGGGAGGGGCGGAAGAGAGAGGGATCCAAGAGAATTTTCTCGGGAGTGTTTGGTTGGTGAGAAAAATGGAGGGAGAGAGAGAGAGAGGGAAAATGAGATTCGTGATTCGTGGGATTTGTGTATGCGGAGAGAGAGAGAGAAATAAGGAGATTCTGATTTTGTTGAGCGATAAATTTGGGGATACGGAGGACTTTCTCTAACATTAGTTTGTAAATTTCAGCTGGCGGGCGAATTATTTAATATTTCCATACATTACAATAAAGATTTATTATTAAAGTATCATTAGCCGCCTTTTGGTACCGTGCTTTGCCCCTACACGCATTTCAGTTCAATTTAACCCAAATTTTCCTTTAAAAAAAAAAGAAAATGAAACCCATATAGATCCCTTTTCATGCATTTTAATCCGAATTTAATATATACAGACTAAAAAAAATCGATATATATATATATATTATAAGCTCATAGAAACAATATAATCTTTTTGTCAAATGTTATAATATAAATTAGAATCGAATCTTCCAAAGGCATACACCATCTATGCATTTAATTTTCAGGTCCTTCCAGAACCACGCAGCTTCTATTCTCACAAATACAATGCAACCCTCTAAACCAAAGAGAAGCATAGCATCATCACATCACAACACTGTTTCACATCGTGAATGGGCGAGAAAGCTTACTGCTTCATCTCTGCTTCGGTTCATACAGTGTTTCCTTATCCTGTGAAGATGGTGAGATTTGATCGGTGGTGTTGTGGAATCAGTGGGATCCTGTGCCGTGGTTTTTTTTTTCCAAGGAAAAGGGTTTGGCTGCTGAGTTCATTGTTATATATATATATATCACCCTTTTTTTGTTTTTTGTATTTTCGGATTTACTGCGAACATGATCTATGATCCAGCTCCATTGATAACAATTGGCAAGGTTAGAAGAGGAGAAAGTGGTAGATTATGTCTGAATGTGAAAAAATCTAATTGGGTGGAAACCATTTCTACAAGTGGACATACAAACAAACAATAATATATACTACAACTACAATAGTTACAATAAGTAGAGGAGAAACAAGGAGAATAACAGTCAAAGGAACTCAACTGTTATGATCCATGATCGTGCCGTGAAATGCCCAATGTACGTTCGAGCCACTGAGCTCGGAGTTCTTGAGATGGGATTGCGACAAAGGTCTCTCGTTTCTCAGCTCTCTGCTCAAACAAGTCCACGGCCGCCCACCACAGCCTGCAACCCATATTTACTTCTTTCAGATCACATAAAACTTCCATGCAGCTCGTGATTCCATACGGATCTTTCCCGAGAGAGTTCTCAGTCGTGGATTTAGGCAGTGACTCAGAAATAACATTGTTGTTGTTCTTCTTGTTCGGTTTCTTGGCTGGTCTGGTGTCTGATGTACTCTGATCAACCGGTTTGGTCCGCTTCTCTGAACTGCTGTTGTTACGTTTTTGGTCAGAAGACGGGTGGTTTGAGTCCCCGGAGTCCACTTCCAAGGGATTGGGATCTGACCCTTTTGGTTCTATGGAGGGTCTCCAACCCTTGTAGGCAGCTACTGTTGTTCCATGGAAGACCTTTTCCAGCAGCAAGATATCGTGGAGAGGATTCTTCCGCAGCTTCATTGCAGCTCTCGGGAAGTCCTACATACAAATCGACATCCCGAAAAAAACTGGATATTTTCATTGGGTCGTGCTTGAACAAAGTCACCGAAAGAACTTGATATTTTGTGTCAAGGACACCATATCGATCGCAAAGTTCTGTACCTTTAGTTTCTTCTCCCACCAGGCATCACCCATGGAGAGACAACCAGACTCTGGATCGATGACCAGTTCACGAGAATCATCCCTACTCGTTAGCTCCCTGTACATCTCAAAATGCTTCCGGAACCATTCATACCTGTTTTTAAACTTCGACCAGTTCCAACTATTCCCAGTTATGTGGCTAAACTGCTCTACCACGTTCCGCTTCCCAATGGAAGATAGGTTATTTCCCTTCCAATTCCCATTATTCTTTTGCTCAAGCATTAGTTGGAGATATATCCTGCTCCACTCCTCTGTCCAAAATGCATAATCGGACATCTACACCACACACCAATGCAGTTTCAACAGGTTATATGCAAATTTCACAAAATCCGAACATATTCTACAACAATTTGACAGCGTATTGAGCTGCAACTTTCAGAAGTTAAAAACAACAGATTTGAATAAGGAACAAGCAAAAAAGATTCTATGAGTTTGTATCTATCGTTTCGTGTTTCAAATCTACAGCTTGATACTCCAAAGCCCAAACTAAAAAAGAACACACCTAAATGATTTGTTTAGGACGTTTTTGTTTGCTTTCTTTTATAGGATCACATGGGAAAGAACGAGAATGATGCGCTCCATTTGCCCTTTCAGAATACACATTACAACGCCTGCTTGTCCTGCGAGAAATTCTTCAGGGACAACCTTAAAGAGTTTCAAACAACATCAGAAAATGAATGCATCGACATGTGAAACAAGCTGTCCTTGGAATAGCCAGTGTCTTGTTCTATCTTTCTCAAATCCACTGGCTGCATCATAGATAGCCTTTTGTATGATCTGGTAATCCTTGACTAACGCCAACTCACATTGACATGAACAGAACACCCAAAAGAACATCACTACAAACCTAATGAATTCACAGTACACTGACTATTTGCATCTGTGAAGAATTCCTGGGTTCGGATTAATCATTCAACACAAATTCAAAACCCACCATGTATGCATAAACCACGGTTCACTATGCACGTAAAGAACATGATTTACAGTTCAAAATCAAAGCCCCTGTGATGCTAAATCCATCAAGAATCCTACAGTGATAGCTCGACTTACATTCTCAAACATCGAACCCAGATACCACAATTGACGGGGGGAAAAGTAGATCCCTTCCACACCAGCACAATTCAGTAGACCGGACGCAATTTCCCAAACGATTTTAGCTAGAATTTTCAGAATGCGAACAACAGGCGAGACGAAATCGTTGCTATCTCGGCAAGAACTTGGGGAAATGGAGAAAAGACGATGATAGTGGATCTGGGTATCATAACGATTTCGTCTTCCGGGGAGATGCAGATGAAGACCTTCAATCGCACTTCATCTGACAGAAACGAGAAACCCAAAATCCCAGATGGAGAAAAGCTTTGAACTTTTCTGTCCTTTTTTCTGGGGTGAAGTGATTTGGGTTTTGCATTCTAAGAATTTCCGGAGAAGAAAAGATTCAACAACAAAAAAATAAAATAAAATAAAAAGTATTTGTTAGGTGTGGGGTTGGTGACCCAAAATTCTGATGACAATAGTAAAAAATACCTTAAAATTTCTAAATTTTATAATTTGATCCTAAATTTATAGATTTCACTATTTATTCGCGAACTTGTATTTTTGAATATAATAATTTCTAAATTTGTTTAACAATTCTATAATCATCCATCCATACCACTAATTGACCAAAACAAAATTTAAGAATTATTGTGTTCAAAAATAAAAGTTTAGGAATTATTTTGTTCAAAAATACAAGTTTAAGAATTAATGTGTTCAAAAATACAAGTTCGGGAATAAATAGACAAACCTACAAATTCAAGAATCAATATTACACGAAATTACAAGTTTAAGAATTTTCAGTATTTTTCTCATAGTTATTTTCGTATAATGTATCGTTTTATCTAATTCAAATACCATCTAAAAAATAAATTAATCAAATACAAAAAATAGTAATAATCTAGAAAATATTTTTTTTTATCAGATATTAAAAAAATTAATTAACCAAATCCGAAAAATTTCAATAAAATTAATGGATTGGTGTACTAATAATTTTTGTGTGTGTGTGGAAATGGTAGAGTGCAAATGTAAAATTTTTTATATAATTTTTTGTGCAAATTGGAGATTTTTTGTGGGATTTACTCTATCTAAATTGAAAAAAAAAACTTAAAGGTCAATGATTTAGATTTCGTTGGTTTATTATTGAATTATTTCGTAACATAATGTTTTTTTTTGGTGAAATGCGAAGTATATTAATATATAGAACATTTACAAATCAGTTTTAACCGAATGCAAAATAAAAGAACCCGTGACAAAACGGTTTCCTAAACAGAATGACCCATAACAAGTGGTACCAATGTTTATCTTAGTAACACACTGTTTTTCAATACGGATTCGAAATTAAAATTACATAATGAAACAACATTTAATATGTATCAATGTTGTGTATAAAGAGATAGGAAAGAAAGCCGATGGGACCCATGTGAGAGCTGTTCGTTAAAATATGAAAGCGTAGCGGTGAACGTTTAACAAAAAAAAAAAAAGAGTAGTGGTGAAAATAATTCCACATAACCAACTAATTAATGACACGTGTCACTCGTATTCCATGACAGCCAACGTTTAACGAGCAACATCCAGAATCAGGCTCTCACCGCTAGCCTCACAAAAAAAAAAAAAAAAAAAAAAACAG